TAAAGACCCGTCTTGACCCTCATCGGTTTCTTTGCTGTAAAAATATTAAATATTTCTGAAAAAGTCTAATTTAATTTGCAATAATGCTCCATAAGTGAGTAATCAGGCTGGCTTTAGAGATTATGTAGTTCAGAGGAGTGCAACCATAATCATATATATGGTTAGATACTGCAAATCAACATAAAATATAATCTTAATATACAAGTTACTTTATTCTATCACGTACATGTATTATGAATTAATTTTCACATGGAGTTAATGCATTAGTAATGAATACACTTTAAATAGTTTGAATTCAACAGATCATGGTGTGACTTAAAAACTGTAGATTATACGCTGAGGTCTGCAACATTCTGCAACATATTTATAGCCATATTACTGTCATTAAGTCTTTATGAGTAATCTGTAATTGCATATACATGTAATGCATGGAATTCTTTAAGAGAAAGGAAATAGAGGTTTGTAAATGATGGCACTGGAAGAAAAGGCATTATTGTCAAATATACTTTTTTCTAAGAAATACACCAGAAATTGTAAGTCTAATTACTTTTTCTTGACTCCCCTAAATTAATCTTAAAATGTTTGGGATTTACCAAAATGTGTATTATTTCTTCGGGTTTTTTATCATCTACGGGAATCCCATTGACTTCCCTCAGTTCATCACCAACATGAATAAGACCTACAGAAGGCAAAGAGTTGCTGTTAAATGGTAGCTACATATTATACAAAAAATGCCATTAACATTCAGCTTTTTTCTCCCTTGTTCCTCCAATTTAAGCTAAAAAAAGGAATGTATGGTGAACACAACAACAGCTACTGTCCTCACAGATAAGTTTGAGATGGTTGGTTTACTCACCTCCCTTCCTTCCTCCTGAAAATTAGTACCATTTCTCTATGACTTCTCCAGATTTTTATGCACATGTTTGAAAAATGTCTGTGCCAATTCTTTTTCTACTCATACTACTCTCTTATTGCTACACAGCTGCAAGTGCTGCAAAGATCACTTAGGCTGTGAGTGTTAATTTGTGGCACAAATGCTTCCTAATTTAACAATATATATCTAGATTTACTCCATTACCCCATCTAAGTGTGAAACACAGCTGTCCTAGATTCTCTTCAATGGAAAGAGGCCCTCTAGAGTGTAACTCCGGACCTCTTGCTTGAGCAATTTCAGACTATGAGCATCCCAAACTAAAGAATGGCAGTCAAGGATGTGCTGGTATTTTGAGAATTACCAGCTGGAACTCCAAATGGATGTACTAATATAAAATAATTCAGCCATCCTGAGTTCCTCCATCAGCAGGTTGTAATCTTGGCATATCCTACCATTTCTAAGTGGGTATCTTCAACTGGAAACACACCATGATGCATCTTAAAAACCCCTGCATCTGCTAACTTAAAGATACCTGGTTGAAAGTGAATTGGGGAAAAGATTCAGCATGAATACTTACTCTGGTATTAAAATGTCACTTGGGAAAGCTGTCCAAATCCCAAACACTTTTGTTTGTGATAGTGATACATTTTGTGTGTACAAAATGCTCCCATTTTATCTCATCTTTTTTTGAGTTATAGAACCTGAATGGCTAGTGGAAAACAGCAACACCTTACCACTTCTATCTGCAGCTCCTCCACGCATTATCCTGGCCACCACAATTGCACCAGTATGTTCATCCCTTTTAATGGTAGCCCCCTTAAAAAAAAAAAAAAAAAAAATTAGAAAGTTATTTGGTTAATCTTACCGTAAATTTAATTCACTACACTAAAAACACATTTGCTATGTAAAACTGCAAAAAGTTGACATTGGATCAATGTGCGAATAAGCCAGAAATGGCACTTGCTCCTGAAAAGAATATACAAAGTATGTTGCTCTATTACCATCCTATTAAAATGTGACTACTTTTCCACTCAGAACTGACTCATGCAGTTTGGACAAACGATACAAGAAGTTTACTGTTTGATTTAATGTTAACTGCAGCATACCTTCCTTGAATCTGTTGCTAAAACTGTACTAAACTGTTACTAAGAATTGATAAATTGTTCTTCCTGCTCTAAACCAGGCCACCTTACATACTATGGGTACAAAAAGTTTATCCATGTCCGTAAGAGTTGCACTTTACACGCAGAACTGCCTGTGTACCCACTAATCATAGTTTTGCTTTACAATGTTATGAATAAACAAACACAAATTTGAGAAATGCCCCCGCACGTCAAGGCTCACCTGGAATACCCGCGGGACAGAAATGCAGAGGAGGGGAACATTTCCTGAGTTAGTCATGACTGCTTTCATACATTACACAAACACAGCGCAAGGCATTTAGGTAAAATGACATCATGTAGTTCAATTTCCAGCAAACAGCTGTCTAGATGAGAAAAATGCCTTTGTAAGTAGAACTGTGCGGGTGCGCTGAGAAGAGGCACAAGGTGATGGGGCAGCAGCCGCCACAGGCAGGGCGAGAGGGCAAGGGACGTGGAGGCAGGGGGCTGCCGGCAAAACTGC